GTTTCTGAAAATATAAGAAGCTTCAACCTGATTTTAATCAGCGTGATTCTGTAGAGCGTGATAGGTCTTCCAAGCATTGAATCAAGAGAATTGGAGCAGGGAAACAACTTAACGACAGCATTCGCAGCCTGAAGCGCCAATGCAGAAAAGTTAAGCACTTGTGGAAGAAAACTTGTCTCCACGTCCATCTGCTGCATCTAAAGGATCTTCTGTCATCCTTTAACTTTGCAGTCAGAGACATGAGGGTTTCCTATTTCTCCAACCTGGAGTCCCAGAGCAAAGGGAACCCCAAGGTGCTGTTTAACACCATCAGCAGCATCGACTCTCTTGCCTCTCCTACAGCCTCCATCCACTCTGTTACAGACTGTGAGAACTTTCTGTCTTTCTTTGTGGACAAAGTCAATAAGGTTAGATGTAGCATCTCTCCTTCAGCCTTATCGCTGCCTCTCCCAACTCCAACCAGGCCCATCATCCTAGATAGCTTTGCTCCTGTTTCTTTGCCTGAGTTAACCAAACTAGTTAACTCTATGAAGACCTCTGCATGCCCCCTCTACATCTTACCCTCATCTTTGTTTAAAAGTGCTTTTCAGTCCATCGGTCCCAGCGTGCTCTCCATTATTAATGCTTCTCTGGCTTCTGGTCAGGTCCCTGCTTACTTTAAGAATGCTGTAATCCACCCGCTTCTTAAAAAAAAAAAAAAAAAAACGAGTCTTGACGCCTCTGTCCATAGCAGCTTCAGACCCATCTCTAAACTTCCATTCATCTCCAAAATCTTGGAAAAGGTTGTGGCTAAGCAAAGCTGCTCTTGATAAACATAACATCTATGATAGCTTCCAGTAATGTTTTCATAGAGCTCATTCTACTGAAATAGCTCTTCTTAAGGTCTCTAGTAATGTTGTCAAAGGCTAACAAATGTATTTGTCCACAGCAATGTCAGAGGACAAATAGACAGTCGGGTGTCCAGCAGCCTTCCTCTGCTAGGAATGTTGTGTTCTTCCCTGTGCCAAAACAATTCCTTGCTTAACCATCTCTTGCAAGAGTTGAGTGCTCGCCCCATAATCAGAAGGTTGCAGGTTCGAGCCCCGCTCAGTCTGTCGCTGTTATTGTGTCCTTGGGCAACTTAACCCCCTTGCCTTCTGGTGGTGGTCGGAGGGACCATTCAGTAGGTAGTAATAACAAATTCCTCCTCCTGACTCCCTTATCTGAGCTGCAACTCCAAGGTCCATGCAGAAGACAAGACGTTTCCTCCTTCAATAAGGATTTCTTTCAATCTACAGGTTTGCAATCATATTCTGTGTTATCTACAATGCATGTTCTATCTAAAGTGATTCATTGAAAAGGCAGTAATGATCCAAATAAACCACTATTTAGAGTCAAATAACATTATGGACAGTCTTCAGTCTTAGACAGCACCACAGTACGGAGACTGCACTGATCAAGGTATTAAATGACATTTGTCTCACCACTGATTCAGGTAAAGAATCTGTCCTGATGATGCTTGACCTCAGTGCAGCTTTTGATATTGTGGATCATAACATCCTTCTGGACAGACTCACAAACTGGGTAGGACTATCAGGCACAGTGCTTTGCTGGTTCCAATCTTATCTCAAAGACAGGGGCTATATTGTCTCTATTAGGGACTACCAATCAATGTGGATCACCATGAGATGTGGGATCCCCTGAGGCTCAATTCTAGTACCACTACTCGTTAATCTCTTTATGCTCCCCTTGGGTCAGGTCATACCTAATAACAACACAGCCTATCATAGCTATGCTGATGAGACCCAGATATACCTAGCTCTATCACCTAGTGGCTGTCGTCCACTGGACTCACTCTGTCAGTGCCTAGAGCAAGTAAACAACTGGTTGCAGTCAAACTTCCTTTAACTAAACAAAGACAAGACTGAAGTTATTTTCTTTGGCAACAAGAAGATTAGGATAGATGTTCGTGCTCAGCTGGACTCCAGGGGAGTAAAGACAAAACCCCAGATTAGAAATCTTGGTGTTTTTATTGACTCTGACCTGAGCTTCTATGGACATTTTAAGGCTATAACTAAATCAGCTGCTGCTAGAGTCTTAACAAGAACTAAGAGAAAGGAGCACATCACTCCTGTTCTTAGATCCCTACACTGGTTACCAGTAAACTACAGAATAGATTTCAAAGTGTTCCTACTAGTTTATAAATCACTCAATGGCATGTGACCAAAATACATGTCCGATCTCATTCCTGTATATACACCCAATAGGACTCACGTCCTTAGGAAACAATCAGCTGGTAGAACCTCGGGTCAGAACCAAACATGGTGGAGATGCTTTTAGTTACTATGCTGCTCACATGTGAAATCAGCTTCTCCATGACCTCAGATGTGCCCCAACCCTAGTGTTGTTTAAAACAAAACTAAAAACCCTAATGTACTCATCAGCCTTTAAATTCATTGTTTCTTATGCAGCATTGTCTCCACTGTAATCTGCACTGTAGCTTTGTCTTCTCCTTCAGCTCAAAACTGCAATTCTATTTGTGTGCATTTTAATTTGTGTTTTTATGTGTTTTCATATCATGTCCTGAAAATTGTAAAGCACACAGATATGCCTCTGTGCTTGAAATATGCTCTATAAATAAAGCTGCCTTGCCTAATCACCAATTATCTATCAGTTACATTCACATAATAATATCAGTGTATTAACAAATTAATTTTTAACAGACGTACTCCATATTTTAGGTGAAAAAAAACTTTCTAAGTGTCACAGAGAGGGGAGCGCCTAAGGGTCTTGGTAAACGTCTTTACACATTTCTCATATCTGGTTGGTCAAAGTTGATAAATAACCATTTCATTAAAAGTGAACTCATTTCCTATTCAAGCCAGTTCTGCCAGAGCTCAGAGTTCAGCAAAAGCTCACAGCTCATGCTAAATGACCATCCTGTGGGGAATCAAACCAGATTTTTCAGTGGAATAATTTTAGCAGCATATGAACCATCCTTTTTGAATCAACAATTAGTATTTGCTCAGTTCACCACCCACTCATCAGACATGAAATGGTCTGCCAGAAGCCACGTAGGAAGTATCTTTTGACCAGCTGTACATATGCTAAGGGTGCCTACGATCTTCAGATACATCAGAAGCCCACTCACTCGCTCTAACAGACGGCGTCGCCTGCAGGCCCGATCTCCGGGAGCTTCCATGATCCAGGGAACGTAGACTAAACAATGGCATCAGAGTGGCTGATATAAACTTGATAACTTGTTAAATTACATCCAACAAACAGCCAAATTTATTTTATAAACCCAGACATCACACCTTTCTGATACATACCAGGTCATGTTTCATCAGAGTTCATTCATTGTCTCATTTGATATCACTGTGAATCACCATTCATAATCATTTGCCTTTCATCATAATCGATATAGTAATAAATTGATTTTGTTTAAACTATACTGTTTGTCTCTGTGTCAAATTATTATAAAGTGTTGTTTCCCTGGATTAACCAAAGTAACTAGTTTCATCAGCTATTGAATATTAAAGGCTCAATCATACCAATAATCCATACTTTTATGAAATATTACATTTGATTAAATACCTTTATATTCTATTGACAATTTATTAAAAGTAACCACCTACAAGTTGTTACACTTATGACCTTCTGACTCACAGTGATACAGGGGACTGTTCTGTTCTGGTCCTGCTGGACCTGACTGCAGCCTTTGACACTGTTGACCATCACCTGCTACTGGAGAGGCTGAGAGACTGGGTAGGCCTATCAGGAACTGCTCTGGAGTGGTTCTCCTATCTGTTTAAGTGATCCTTCTCTGTTGCCATCTCTAAGTTTCAGTCCTCCACCATCAACCTCACCCATGGTGTCCCACAAGGTTCTGTGCTGGAGCCTCTACCCTTCTTCTATCTGCTTCCTCTTCAGCACATCCTGAGCTCTTCAAAGGAATCTCCTACCATCTTTACACTGATGACATCCAACCGTGCATCTCCTTTAAGCCCTGTGAGATGTCTAAGCTGCAGCTGTTACACACCTGCTTAGACTATCAAAACCTGGATGGCTGGGAGCTTTCTACAGCTGAATGACGATAAGACTTTGATCCTCATCTGTGCCCCAGACAAGCTGGTTCCCAAAGTCAGAGACTCTCTTGGTCAGCTTGCTTCTCACACCAAACCTTCCGTCAGAAATTTTGGCATGACCTTTGACCCAGCTCTCACCCTGGACTCTCATGTAAGTTCTCTTGTTCGCTCTTCCTTCTTCCATCTCAGGAAGCCTACTATGCTGAATACCTCCCTGAACCGTCGACAGGTGGTTCAGAATGCCTGTGCTCGGCTTCTGACCAAGTCCTCCAAACACACCCACATCACCCCGCTTCTCCAGCTTCACTGGCTGCCAGTCAACTTCAGGGTTCATTTCAAGATCCTGGTTCTGGTCTTTAGGGCCTTACATGGACAAGCACCATCTTACATTGGTGATGTTCTCAGTCCTTCCGCCCCAGCAGGTCCCTGAGGTCCAGTGACCAAAGCCTACTGGTTGTGCAGCACCAGGCTAAAGATCAAAGGTGACAGATCATTTGCTGCTGTGGCCCCCAGACTCTGGAACTCTCCCCCTGAGATTCGTGGACTCAGTGGACTCCTTTAAAAAGCAGCTGAAAACTCACCTGTTCAGGCTGGCTTTGGTGACCTTCATCACCACCTTCTCCTTATTCTGCTCTCCCCACCTATTCCGCATTTCCTGGGATCCACCGGTTTCTCTCTTTCAATGCCCTTTCCTTACATTTTTTATTCACAAATTTTATTTTTTGTCATTTTAAACATATTTTTAAGTTACTTTTTCCCAATCTTTTTATATTTGAATTGTTTCCTTTTGTGAAGCACCTCCTGATTTTTATCTTGAGAGGCTTATATAAAAGATCGTTTTCTTTTTCTCTGTCTTTTTTATTGCAAAATGTCCAGATGTGCTTTAGCAAACCTCAAGCAGCTGTTTGTGCTGTGGGTGGAGAAAAGGCTTACTCTGTATCACTCTCACATGCAGCATCTCCTTGTGTAAAGTGCGCGGAATAGTTGAACGATGCACAGTGACTCCATCTGCAGCAAGATGATGTTGTAGGTCTTTGGCGCTGGTCTGTGGGTTGACTCTGACTGTTCTCACTGTGGTCTTCCATTTCCTCAATATGTTCCTAACTGTGGAAACAGACAGCTGAAATCTCTGAGACAGCTTTCTGTATTCTTCCCCTAAACCACGATGGTGAAATCTTTGTTTTCAGGTCATGTGAGAGTTGTTCTGAGACTCCCATGTTGCTGCTCTTCAGAGGATATTCAGAGGAGGGACACTTACGATTGGCCCCTTAAATACTCTCATAACTAGATTCTTCTGTGTGGAGGTCACTGAGCTTACCAAACCATTTTTAGTTCCAATAAATAGTTCTAAATGTTTTGAAATCAATAAAATAACAGCAGCATTCAGATTTATGCACCTGCCTAATTTTGTTTAAACAATTATTGCACACTTTCTGTAAATCCTGTAAATCTGTCTCAGATATCACTGTGTGTCTCCTATATGATACGTGTTATTGAACCTATTTATCCTAACAACCAACAGTTTATAAAGAAAAGTCATGAAGATTAAAAATGCTGTCCAAACTTTGACATCTGCAATCAGAGCCAAATGTAATTTGAGGTGAATTAAAACACTAGTGTGTATGAGGCTTAATGGAAGTGTTAACATTTCATTACTTGTAAAAATAAATAAATAAATAAACCTTCACAAATAAACTCAAACCTTAGAAACGCTGTTGAATAAAGTGTATCAAAAATTTTTTTCTGACACAGAGTGTATGATTTTTCCATTCATACAGCATGTCAGAAATTAACAACCTCTTTTTACTGAAATTGTAAAAATGTGCTTTAATGTTTGTGTTTTAGAGCTTCTAAAGAGCTTAAAGCCCGTTTCAGCAGATGTGTGTCAATGAAAAATAGCTGTTAAGTTCTGGTCCTGCACAGCCATCATCCTGCTTAGAGAAAAGTAGAGAAAAGCAAATAAAAGGCAATGCATACCGTCCACAATCATATACCACACATCTAATTGACCAGATGGAGCTTTTGGTTTATCTTCTGTGATGGCTGAAAAGACACTGACTTCTGTTCAGAAAAGATTTAGGAAGAAACACGTTTCAATCAAGATGAAGCTTAGACTTTGATAAAACAACCAGAAAATTTATCAGATTTCATCAGATTGGATAAAAGAAACCAGCCACCAAAAATACTGAATAATTCACAAAGAAGAACTTTGAAGAGAGGACAGACGGAAAAATAGTTAGAAAAGGGAATGTTTGAAAACTCCATTTTCTATTTGAGTTCATCTACAGTTCGACTCAGAAATCACATCCATTCATCATGGAAGTAAACGTAATGATGATTTTAAGGTTTAAATGACTGATTTGAAGCATTATTTTCCCATTGTGGAACACTTTTATAACTCAAAAGACTGGTTCTCAAGTTTTATTTTACTGTTTCTCTTGTATGGCCGTATGGTGTTTAATCATTCGACCCTGGAAAAAAGAACTGATCCAAAGGAATCAGTACAAGTCTCATGGACACTAATGTTCACAGTGACAAGACTTTAGTTTTGTTTGTTTAGAAGAGCAGAAAGGTTTGTTACCTGTAATCTTATCAACAATCATCTCTCCTCATGATATGATTCAAGCACACCCAAAGCCAAAGGCAGTGGCACTTCCAGCCCATAAACACCTGATGAAACACTGTGTGCTCATCCTTAGAGGGCATCTCAAATCTCAAAAGGTCAAAGAACTCTTTAAAATTCTGACAATCCACAGAGAGCCTCGCACACCAAATCCAACCAAGAACTATTAAATAACCCAGCTGAACTTAGCGCAATGCGTCTCTGTTCTCTCCCCTCAGCAGGGTGAGACAGTGAGGATTCACTTATCAGGTTTGAACCTCTATAATCAGCAGGAACCCTGAGGCCACAATCAGCTTCTCCTCTGTGGGTGCGGCCGTGCTGCATAGGAAGCTGGGCACGGCGACTCTGACACTGACGAACCACGGCTGAAATACATTTGACACATGAATTGGGTTTTGTGGCGTGAGCATATGTCAGGGTGTCAGTGGATTGGAGACATTAAAGGATCACCACTTTGTGGGGTAACCGACAGCTGGGCGGCAGCCTCCTTCTCAGTTGTGACTGATTCCTAAGCTGTTTGGACTTCTCTATTGTTTTAGGATTAAAGTTTTGAATTTAGATACATTTTTACCAATTTATATCAATAACTAGATTTCAAATGTTTGTAAAACAAAGAACTTTTTACTTATAAACAGGTCGTATAGACCACATGCTTCGTTAGTTACTTGTATTTATCTTGAAAGCAGCAAGAATTCTACAGTAAAATAACCACTAAACAGTCTAATGTCTCAATCCTGTTAGAAGGAAGGTTACCCTCTAACTACCGCCGTTATCATCCGTTTATCATTATTAAGGTGGACTGCTCAATAAAGCCTGCTGCATCGCCCAGCCCTAGTTCAGATTCAGGTGCAAGTTATGGTGTTTGTACAAAAAAGCATTATGGGTATCAGAGGTTGGTTTAGTTTTGAATTATTTTTAATGTAAAAAAAATATCATTCATATAGTGATTGGTAAAAGGCTTGCACCATCTAAGGTTCTACCTGCCAAGGCATTTCACAAAATGGTACATGATACAGTGTTTTGGGGCCGATATCGAATGACTTCTGATATCTATATTGAAACGGGACATCCCTAGTATCTTCATTCCTTTTGCCGTTCATTTTCTAACTGTTGATTTTTCCTACTCGGATGTGGGATTTTCTAAGTACCAAGGAGAAAGCAAACGTACCATTAGCTGCTAGCAACGGAAGCTAAACTATCAAGCTAATTTGATCTTAAACAGTTTATTTACCTGCTGGAGCAGATTACGATGATGATAGCTCACTTAGAGCGTTGTCAAAGTTGTCATTGTCACTCAGTCATCCATCGCATTTAGTGACGTAGATGCAAACTTTAGAGCGTGTTCTTTCTGCCATGCTGCTTGCTCTGTTTGCAACTCGCAGCAACTGACGACAAAACGCTCTTGCACATGCACTGCTGTCTATCTTGGGAAATCAGGTACTGAACGCTAGTGTGTACGTGGCAAAAGGTACTGAAACAAGGCACCATTTCATTTCATGTGAATCGGACCTTGGTCGGTACCACGGAATTCGGTCGATGCCATAATAAGTACAAAAAACGATACCCGTCCCTATGTGTGTGTCTCATACTTGATATATTTGACTGAAACTTTTTATCGTAACAACCAACAATTTATACAGGAAAATCATGAAGCTTAACAAGGCTGCCCAAACATCCCACTGTATAAGAGTCCATGTTAATTTTGACAAGAACATTTATTGACCAACACCTAAGTCGATCCAGGTTGATCTTACAGTAATTAGCTGGGAGTCTTTTTACAATTTACATGTGCATTAGAAAACCGACCACTCAAATAACGTTTGTTCCACTCCGGTACAGTAGGAGGCAACATGCACCCTTTCATGTCGGCATTATTCCAGTAAGCTTATAGCAACACAAGCAGTAAACAAACACTGACGGGAATGAAGCAGACAGAACTGGAACAGGATAAGCACAATTGCTGAAAGAATGGATAACAACAATGCTGCAGAACAGCGTATTTGTTACGTACTGTATTGTTTGATGATGTTATGCATGCAAATATGTGGCGACAGTACCAGAAGACTTCATTCTCAACCTCGTCACTTCCGGAATGCAAGCGTCCAATGGGTTCACTTTGGCTAACCTGTTTACATGCAGAATGAATTTGGAATACCTCTGCATGGGTGCTTCAGCATGGTTAGCACCAGTTCCCCTTCAGCTAGAGTAAAGCTGAGAACGGGTGCATTTAAAAACAGTGAAATTTTTAGGGCGACACTTTGGTTTTCTGATGTGCAAGTAAACACTCCAAGTGTGGTCCGAGCTTAAAACCTCTGATGGAACAGTCTAGGTTGGAAATCCCCAACACAAGAGCAGAGTATTTACATGCCAGGGTAAAACAGCCAACCCTATTCAAAATGGTCTTCCATAGCTGATCAACACAAACATTGCAACGGCTTAATGAACTTAACAGATATTGCGCAAAAGTTAGACATGGGAGTCATTCACAACACATGGTCTAAGAGCTAACCCACTGTAAACCCAAATGGTGAAAATAATCCAAAATATTGAGTAGGTGACACTCATAAATTAAAAAAAAAGTTTTTAGAACTCAAATGTGTTGAGTTAGTTCAACCCTTTCTTTGCTATAAGTATATAGCCCAATACTGGTCCTGGAAGGCCGGTATCCAGCAGGTTTTAGTTTTAACTCTGCTTCAGCACACCTGATTTCAATCAGCGGGTGATTAGCAGGCTGTTGCAGAGCTTCGGGAGCTGCTGCACAGGTTATTCAACCTCCAAATCAAGTGTGTTGGAGCAGAGAAACCACAAAACCTGTTGGATACTGGCCCTCTAGGACCAGGATCGGGCACTCCTGGTATATAGAACTCAAACTTTTTAATTAATCTGAAAAAAAAAATAACTTAAATGAATTAATAAAGAGCAACTTAACTTAAATAAGTACTTTTAACAAAAAAAAATTAATTTATTATTTTATGTTTTTATATTAATCTATTCAGCTTTATGTCAACTTAAAGTGTGTCTGATAAACATACTTATATATTTCTTAATATATTTGTGGATTTATAAGAAAAAAAACAAGCACAAACAAGCAATTTTGGTGGATTTCAGGCACAATTAAAAACTGGTGGGTGAGATTCATTGTGGGTAGTCATGTTTTTAGTTATTTTGTTCTGTTTATGCATGTTTATTGTGGGGAATTGTTGTTCTTAGTTATTACTTCACTCAGTGTTGCAAATGTGGTGTTACTTTTTGTTTGATGTTGGCACCGTAAGTGAGGAGGTTGGTCAAAGGAATGACCATGCTGTACCATTCCACTTTAATTAATACTGTGGTGGTTCACACCAGATGCGTTTGACTTGGCTTTGGGTGTTCAACTCTCACTGGCTGTCAGCATCAATGGGTGTGTGTGAGTCATGTGCAGTTAGCAACATATCTGGGTTAGTGTAGTATGTATTCAGTTACACCAACAATTTTGAGTTATATCCACTTATTAAGTTTGAGTTAAAATATTTACATTTTGAGTATATTTTGTGAATAATATGAGTTGAAAAATGTTGAAAATCTTGAGTAAATTACTCCCTAGTTATAAGTCGAGGAATATCAATATTTATAAGATAACATCGAGATAATTTAAGGCAACTGCAAATGTAATTTTTATTTAATGTAAACTTAAAATATTTAAATACATCACATAAATACTTTTGTGTAATCTGTTACAAAATAAGTTTTGAATTCTGTGAACTTATTAAGGTTTACAGTGTCGATCATTTTCAAAAACTCTGCCTAAAACTACAAATGTATAAAATGGAAAAGAGGAGGGAGTGTGAGTAAGAGACTTAAATTAGAAGTGCATGCAGACATGAATAAAAATACTCACACTTTCAGCTTTTGGATTGATTTATATACTTTGTTTCAGTGCAGATTAATTAAACAAGACTTCCCCTTTTCTTTTAAATAACAAACCTGAGAGGCAACAGGAAATAAATGGGTATATAATTAACAAGATTAGTAAAGGCTGCATCCCCTTTTGCTGGAAAGTTCAGGGCCCAGCCTCTGGGAAGGGTTTCTTGATGAAGTGTCTACTGAAGAGAACAAATGATGCTTGTCCCAGCGCTGCATCTGGTTGAAATCTATGAGGAAGCTCTGCTACTTTACAAAATTAAAGGCCAAAAGTGATCAAAAAACACACTTTGTTTACAACTAACTTTATTAAAGAAGAGGGGAAAAAAACTTAAGTGTGAACTTTTCTTAGAAAACTCTATGCCTGTTGGCAGTGACACTTCTGTTTTATTTTTTTGTTATTATTTAATTAATTTTAATTAACAAGTGATGAAGACTCCAGGAGAGATGCTAATTGGCTGAGACTGGGAGTTTCACTGGTGGTGTTAAGTTATTGCTTTTTATCCCAAAGGGCTGATTTTTCCAAAACTTTTGTACCACCACCATTTGTGAACAGTGTTTAAAAATGAAGGCTAAATGAGTTCAAAGACTCAGGGTAAGACCCATACACAGTGTAGGGTGAAGTCTACAGCTGTCTTTCAAACTGTCTCTGCATGCTTTTGGACAACACACTCACTTGTTACTCATGTCAGTAAACAGGGCAGTCTACCATACACTGTTGAAGAAGACCCAAATACATCTTTTTTCTAAATAAATGACTTAAGTACCGTATTGACCTGAATATAAGACGACCCTGATTATAAGACAATCCCATAAGACAAAAAATAAATCACTTAAAAAATAAATACTATTTTTATTGTAAATTTGAGAACAAATACCGAGCCAAAATACTATTTTAATGCAAACTATCAGAGCTTTGCTGACATGTGAAATCCAAAGTTAAATGAGGCTTTTATTCACAGACGTTCTCTGCCTCTTTGTACTCGTGCACTCTCATGCTGCTGCGGTCCCGGTGTACCATCAGATCGCTACACCTGCTGGCTCCTCCCATTGAACGTCATCCTCACTGCCATCCAATATATCCATGCGTGTTTGACGCCTCTGCTGACTTGACCACCGTCATCTTAAAATAAGCATCATGACTCTGCCTTGGTAGGTAGCTTGTTAACTTGCCCCACTTTCTGTCCACTCTGCTCCAGACCCCTCGTTTCCATTTTTTTCTCCTGTTGAGAACATACAGCCTGGCGCCCTCTGCTGTTACAGGTGTGTAATGACCTCAGACAAATATCAGCAGGTGTGAGTGCTTAGACCCTGATTATGAGATGACCACACAGTTTAAAATTATTTTCAACGGAAAAAACCCTTGCCCTATATTCGGGTCAATACGGTACAATTATCTGCTCTTGACTCAAAGAAAAGCCCAAGTCTAAGTAGACTAAAGTTGATGCCAAAGCCATTACAAACGAGTCTCCGCCTTCTTAACGCCGGGTGTACACTGTGCTACTTTTACACTAGTAGCATTCAGCTCCATCTCCAACTGTACAACTTTCTTGCAGAGCAAAGCTCACAGGTCATGTTCTCATACTATAAAACACTAAAAATAAAAGTTTTAATACAACACATCGGACCTTCGTGTCCGAAAGTCCAGAAGACCCGGAGACTGCTGTGTTATCATTGTTTGTCATCCTTTGGGCTCCCACTGTACAAAGATCTTTTTTTGGACATCCTACAGACGTGGTCTAGACTGATTGACTCAATATAGAAATGGTCTGCACGTCCATATGCAGGGATGGGAGGACACTCAGGAGTTTATGTGGGTTAGGGGATCTGTTCAATTTGACATACACATTTTCTTTGCAATCCTTGTCATTGTCTGCGGAGAAGAGTGTAAAAATAAAAAGAAACAATGTGCTTTGATAAAAACATTGCTGGCGATCCATATTGACGTATGTGCTGTGTGGGTGGTTGCGGTACTTTTAGGTCACAGCACTGTTTCAAGAGTGCGAGACCCTCACGGGGGATGAGAAAACTATAAAACATGTTTGATATTCGTGTGACCGCAAGATTGCTGATCGGGAGCTGGTTGTGAGGTGTTAATCGCCTTTCCTCTGTATACATTGCACAATGCAAAACTCACCCCGACCTTAAATATTCTTGCATGGGGGGAAAATTGGCTCAAAACTGCAAAAATAATCGCACAGTGTACGCTTTTGTTGTTTTGCTTTGTCGCATCCTCCAGTACACAAAACTGTTCGGGCCTGCTGAGGTTGCAATGCATGGCTAGACCCACCAGCAGAGCAAACTTCCTTCGCTTCTGCTACAGTCCGTCTAGTTTTCTGGGCTATTAGTTGGGGACAGTCAGCAAAAATCTCAACTAAATGTTTAACTTTGTGTTTTATAATTCTGAATCGGCTAATTAAAATCTGACAGAACACCTGTCCTTATCTGAGGAGGTCTCATGTGGTCTCCAAAGCCACAAAGATTGTTTGAAAGACTTAATAAGTATTTAAGCTTCACATCTGCTAAAAACAAGTAATTCCTATCAAATAACAGCAGTTTTATTGTGCGTATTTTCACTCTGTGCAGTTTTGAATTATGCCTCATTAAAAGCCAGTGAATCCTAGCAACAAGTCTTTTGAGTACAGTTCTAATGAAGGATGACTTGTTTTCTTCATGCTCCTACTTGGTCGTTGCTATTCATGAAATACAATCTGAAATAATATTATTCAGAAATGGTTGTTTCCTTTTGAGCTATTTAAGTCACCAAAAGGTCATTCAAGCTCATAACGCCTGCAAGCTGCACACATTTCAAATCAACTATTTGCTCCGTTAGCTTTCACTAAACAGTGAAAAGCCACAGTATGTTTATAACCATTATTCTTCTAATAATCACATTTAATGTCTGTTTTTTGTATTTTAGCATTTATTCATTTCTGTGGGTTTTGCCAAACTTCTACTTAGTTAGATTCAAAGAGCTTTTCTTCTAAAAGTCTTTCAGTCCAAATCTCTGGTTTACCGGAGGATGTTTCCTTCACATTAATTTTTACTGGACACAAACATAAAATCTTTGTTTTACTCAGAAACAAAAGAATAATAAGTGCTACAAAAGCATGATTTCCAATGAGACTTTCCAGTTTGAGAATTCAATTTGAAGGAAACAAAACGTGTTTATTTTCTAAGAGGTTGGCATTATTCTATAAAATAAAAATTAAATGTCTGATATGTTTTAAATTAAACACCAACAAGATAGTATAATGAAAACGGTTAGATGACTTGTCTTAAAAGCATTACTTAGTAGCTGCTGGAAAGTTAAAATAATGTTAACTTTCACATTTGCTTTTTGATGGCAGCTTGCATAAACTGATTCAGAAGAATTAGAATTAGAACTTCTTACAGAGTCCTTCTTTGACAAATAATATAATGGTAACTAATCATCCTCCCAGAGGAACTCCTCTGCCATCCCACAACAGTCTGGCTATGAACAATGTCTCCAGCATGATGGAGCACCGGGTCAGAAGGATAAAGCCAGAACTAAGTGGGTTAGGAACAAAGCATCAACATGTTGGGTCCAGGTCCAGGAAAATCTCCAGACCTTAATTCCACTGAGAACTTGCCCAGAAAAGAAACAAAAGCCCACAAATGCTGACACTCCAAGCACTAACAATGAAGAATGAGCTCCATCGGTCAGGAACTGTTGACTGACAGCATGTGAGGGTGAATTACTGAGGTCAAGGCAAATACTGCATATATGTTCTTGTCTCAGTTTAGTCAGAAGGTTTCTTAGTTTTGTCTAAACGAGTTCAAAACGGTCCCACATTTTATTAGCAAACGGCTGCAATTCCTCCTAAAGTTGTCTCAAATTCATCACATTTTATAACATTTTGTAAACTTTCATTACTGTCTTTCACAATTTAGACCGATAGCAGCCCAGGGGGACTATGGCTTCAAGGAAGCAACAATATTCTAAACTGGAGAAGTGGCAAACTTCTCTAACTGTTACCAACTGGGATATAACCATCGCTACAATATAGTCTTTTGGAGTTAGTAATGGTTTGTACTGGTTGACCCAATATATGTCACCAAGAACAAAACATTGGTAATTTTTTTTATATTTGTCCCCTTTAAAAGTTGAGAAAAATATGCAAAAAGTTTTCAGTTGGAAAGATTAGGAAAATTAAAAAGTCACAAAATTAAGAAGGAAGAGGAAGATAAAAGTAGCCATCAAAGAAGGGAGGTTTCTCTGCCTTCATGAATGTTTAACCTGCATCATAGCAAATGAGTCATTTTGTTTGTAAAACCTCCTAAATGTTAGGCAACACATTTTCTTTTCTGGAGTCAATCACAAGACTGCTGGTGTGGGTATATGAAGGGGCGGGGCTTGCCTGAGAGAGGTCCAGATCTACCTATCCCAATGACGGTCCCTTCAGAGCCCGGGAGCAGGAACAGCTGCTCTTCTTTCTCTTTGGCCAACTTGGAGTCAGGAGGTAGAGCCAAGGCAGTGTGGGGGTCAGAGCCGACACCCTGAAGGAACGAGACAGAAATAAAGAAGCAGATTTATTTTTTTTCTTCAAGCATTAGAGAACAGAACAAAAGTGAAAATATACTGTAGATGTCAAATGAATGAACATTTGCTGGTATGGAGCACCCAGATGCTGTTACATCCTCTGAAATGAATGTGGTATTCTCATCTTAAAGGTCTTGTATTTTTTAGGGTTCTACCTCCTCCTGTCTGATTGGGTGCTGCTTCCTCATTACCAAATCACCAATTAGCAATATTTCATAAATAACCCGTGTGAAGCTGCACGTCTGTGTCTTCAGGTCTTTTGGTTGTGTAGGCTTGAATTTCTCAGATACTTATCTAAGAGAGCTTTGGAGCTGGCGTCTTGACGCAATACGTTACGGAAGTGCTGCGCCATTTTTAATGTCCATGAAAGACAATAACAAACAGACAGCTTAAAGGCGGCTCGTAAGAAAAAGGACGGTATTAAAACAGATGCAAAGAAACGATGCCCAGAAAACAATATAATGTCTTGGAAATGTGGACAGTGAGTAGAAGTAAGTCCCATCAATGGAGAAGAGACCCGGGAGATCTACCGCCGTTTATCCTCCTGTGGGCTATTTCTGTATGGAACTGCTTTTCTCATCTGTTTATGTAGAAAATGCTCAAAGTCACCTGGAAAGGTAACCAACTTCACGCAGCCTGAAGGTGAAATCAACCACCGATAAAGGCTTATGATTCAGAGCTGCTGCTGCTCGTGTCCCAGAGTTCAGGACAAGCTGGACAAGTGATCCTGAATCTTGGTAAGATGTATTTTTTTTATCTGAACTGTCTGAATCTTTTAAGTATATATTGGTTATATTTTTCTGCATTTTCACTCTTTGTTCTTTACTTCCTTTTTTGCTTCTGTAATAATATAATTGCTGCTGTGACACAAAGATGTCCCCACTGAGGGACACTAAACACATTTTGATTTTGTCTTCCAGAGGTCTTGGTTTCATCTAAAGGAGCAACACATGATGCATCCAAGTGATGTTTTTCCTCAGAGGAGAACTTCTTTCCCACCAACCAGCAGGATAACGTCCAGCTGGAGTCCTACCTGGATCGCCCAGCTGAATGCGCTGAAATCTTTCCCAGCTGTTTGTGACAAGCTGAACACACCTCTGCCCACTGAAGCTGAGGGGCGTTTTAGTGCTGCAGTGCTCTTGGGCAGACCCAAAAGGACTCGTGTTGATTCTAAGAACTTGAGAACCAGCTTCTGATGAGGCTTAATAAAAACAGTAAAGCAAAAACAAGTGTCTGCTCCTGCAGTTCCTGTTCGAGTAAATCTCTGTTACCCTGTCAGACTTCTATTGCCTTCACAAAGTCGGGCTGTGGCTGTCGTTTTAGTTCATCAGCACAGTGCAGATTGTGAGCAAAGGGAAACAAATAAATCGTCGTTTTGGTTTTCCAAAGGGGTTCAGTTATAGGGGAAGGATAGAAATCCTGTAGGCGTGAAGCTAATGTTGTTATCAGACATACGGGAAAGACAACCTTGGAATTGTAAGGGAATATTAGGACATCAAGGAAGCTGGCTACAGAAAGCACCTGCGCTTCAACCTGAGATGCCGACAGCCGAGTCTCCTTCCAAAGAGCTTCAGACTTAGAAGTACTATTCTCAATAGAGGCTAACGACTCATCGGGGGGTAGAGAGGAGGGGTACTCACAGTAGTTTCTGCTCAATAAACAACAACAGACAACTACAGCTTATAAGCTTGACTCCCAAATTCCAGTTAGAATTGACAACGCTCCTCGGATGAGAAGCGAAACATCTTCAAGAAACCAAAGAAGTCCTGTTTCCTTCATTTGAACCCTTTGGCATACTTGCATCAGCTGGCTCCGTTTAAAGACAAATGTGTGACATTTTCTTTGTAAATGTCAATTAATGGTTATTTTTCTCTAATGAAATACTCATTCCAATCCATAAGTTATTTTGTGTTTAAGGTGGATTTATTCTTACCTTTTGTTTTTATTGTATATCCTGAACGTTTTACTTTAATTAAAATAAAGAAGTACACTCAGTACTTTTACTTTTTCAAGAGTTGTGTTTAAAACAGGTATCTGCACTTTTATTTAAGTAACAACAGAGATTTGTTTACTGATGCTACTGAGACCTAGATTCTCACCACTTAATACTTAACTACTGTTTGTAAAATTAGCATTTACTGAATAAATACTAAAGTTCAAAGGTAAAACAATACAATGAGCACAATTTTCAACTTATTTTGAAATTATTTTACAGAACAAAAGCATTTACTATTTAGAAATCATATCACGGTGGTGGTAGACAGCTGGATATCAGCTCATCTCTTCTTCTGGTAACTCCCTCACGTTAGGCAGGCAGGGAAAGAATAAAAAAGATAGCCCGCTTTCAAGCAGCTTTCTGTGTGTAAGGGTGCTATCCGGTGCTGACCAGGCCAAGCCCCCGTGGTGCAACGTCAAACTCCAAAGCCCTATATAATGTTCAGACTGTCTTTTTGTTTCATTCCAGTTTTCTCCTGTTTAGGTGCCTGTCAGCTAGGGCTGCTCAATTAATCGAATTTTAATCACGATTACGATCTGAGTTTTGAACGATTATAAAAAACATAACAAGCCGATTATTTGCTCCTCCCGCTTGCGCTGCCCTAAGTTGCAAATGAAGCGCTCCTCACAGTGTTGCCAATTTAGCGACTTTGACGCTATTTCTAGCAGCTTTTCAGACCCCCTTCTTGACTTTTTAATCCTAAAAGTACCTAGCGAACATCTCAGAAACATCTCTGGTAACCCTTAGCTACTTTCTGGATAACTGTCGTCGACATTTCCTGCAGGTTAGCTAAACACTCCGCCTGTGCTCCGGACCGTTCTTCACAACATTAGGAAAGGGAATGATGCAGTGATGTGTCGGTCGCTAAAGACAGCTCTCGGAGCCGGCTCCTTGTTGGATTAACCAGAGTGAGTGACACACACACCGCACCTGCGGTCTCCTGAGCAGCTAAAAACAGCTAAATGTGCGCGTGCGGCGTGCTAAACACACGTGCAGCTTGCCCGATTGTGTGAGACCGGGGTGGGGGGGTGGGGGGTGCAGCTGTGGTCGGGACAATTATTACATTAACTGATGGGCCTGTAAATAAATAGTTTATAAATAAGGTAGAAATAAGTTCCTCACGCTGATAACTAATCTCTCTGAGGACACAGTGCTACAGCACCTTGACACGACTCAATAAATGTTATGTAACATTTTGTGAACATCAGTTTATTTGCATTTATTTGTTATAAATGCCACTCTATAATTCTTGCTGTCAGTATTTGCAAGATATTGGTATTTGGGTCTGTACTGGTTAGACTTACATGAGTTAAACCAAGGTCATAGCCCTTGGGTCATAGACTATGAGCTATAAGTATATTGGTCCTTTTATCCTGGGAATCAGGAGTTCTTTTAGTGATCATCTTGTTTCTTATTTTTGTCCTGATTGTGCCCTGAGCGGTTTTATGACTGAATAAAAACAAATAAAATCAACATAAATTGAAAAATCGTCCTAAATAATCGTGATCTCAATTTCAGTCACCATAATCGTGATTATTATTTTTGCCATAATCGAGCAGCCCTACTGTCAGCTGTACATTTGGAGGTTTCTTTTTACTGGAGATAGGTCAGTTAAACTTTTATTTTCTTTAAGGCTTGTTTTGCTTATTTCATTGGCCTGAGCTTTCCCTGAAGCTAAATGGCAATCTGCACAGCAGTTTTTAAAGAAATGCAACAAAATAAACATCTTAAATGCCATCTCGTCTCCTCCTTCACCTTCTAGACTAATGTTGGTCCCTCCTGCTTCTCCCAGACAAGCAAGAGGACAGAGCAATGCATTAATAACAATTAAACACAATTCATCTTTAATCTGTTCTGACAATGTAGATTCATCACTCTATGGAAAGAAAGTTTACTGATAAGTGAAAAACCATTATGATGGCGGCCAATCTTCCCAACAGTGAACATCCGTTTAAACTTGACGATGAGGTCAGACTGTGTGATACTCAGGGAAATAGGAGGAAAACAAATGCAAGATTGTATAAAATGTCACTGATCCCATAACAAAAGTAGTTAAAATTATTTAAAAAAAAGAAAAAAAACAAGTAGGAATTGAATATCATCAATGATGCTCATTATGGCCATGCGTGATGCCCATATAAATGGGTAGAAACATTGGTTGAAAGAGTTTTATGAAAGAACAAACCAGGAACCAGTGGTCAAACCCATATGGAACCATTTCTATGAAGATCAATCTGTTTCAAAATACACAAACTTGTACATCTGTTCTGTGTGTTTGTGCAACATCATTTGAGCTTAGCTCCTCTTCTACAGGTGTACAACTCAGCTCTCACACAGGTGAATTTTGAAACACTTTTTGCAGGTTGTTTGTAAAAAAAATAAAAAATAAAAAATAAATCCATCTGAACCAGTTAGAGACAAGAGCGGAGTAAGAGGAGTACGATGAGTAGGAGGAGTAGTGGGAGTAGGAGTAGGGGGCAAAGGCAGGGAACAGAATCAACCAATCAGTGAGCGCTACGGTTCTCCTTTTCTACGGTTTGCTAGCTTTAGCAAAACACTCCGGGTTAATTCATTTTCAGTGACTTTCTAACCTTTATTTAACTAATATGTATCTTCATTTTAAGACGAATAAAGTGATACTAACAGGACAGAGCGTTGCGCTACTTATACTATTATTGTGGCGTTAATATAAGATGATACACTTAGTCTGGCTAATGCTAACACGGCCTGCTATGCTAGGCTAGCAGACATCCTGGCCTTTATAACTGTCACCGTGCTTTATTTTTAACTACAAAAACATCTGCCGAGCAAAAATAAACACAATCTATTCTTTTAATCACGCATAACCAGCTTCTAGACTTCAGTTTGTTTAATTCACTGGTAGTTATCAAGTTTTGTGTAAATCAAGCAGAATGTGGGATGTTTTTCATATAATTTCCTAAACAAATTACACTAATTCCATCTAAAAAAAAAG